TATTTTTAGTAGAGACGGGGTTTCACCATGTTGACCAGGATGGTCTCGATCTCTTGACCTCGTGATCCACCCGCCTCGGCCTCCCAAAGTGCTGGGATTACAGGCTTGAGCAACCGCGCCCGGCCCCTTCAGCCACCGCGCCCAGCCCGCAAAAAGCATTCTTAATTTAAAAATAAGTTTTACTTTAAAGATAAGAGTACACTCATAAATTATTGTTAAAATCAGTAGTAACATAGAAAAGTAACAATACTAATAGCCTGACACAACTGATCACAGGCCTTTATAAGAGATAACACTGATCTTAATAACCTATAGAAACAAACATTAAGTAATCCTGTTTGTACATTAATGTACTGGGATTACATGTGTGATTACTTAATCAAGTAATTGAGAGTCTCCTTAACAATACTCCCATGTATGTTAAGGAGGCTGAGGAGGGTTGATCACTTGAGGCCAGGAGTTGGACACCAGTATGGTGAAACCCAGTCACTACTAAATATACAAAAAAATAGCTTTGCACAGTGGAAGTATCGTAGCCAAAGAGGTTTATCTGAGGCATGATTATTGCTGATAGAAAAGTTTTCCCAATACCCTGCCATGACGACTGGAAATATAGTCGGCATTGGCAATTTTTGGCAGTCTCTACGGGGATTGAATAAAATAAGTAATTAATTAAAATAAATCAAAATGGAAAAGAAATAAAAAAATTAGCTGGCTGTGGTGGTGCACACCTGTAATCCCAGCTACTTGGGAGGTTGAGGCAGGAGAATCCTTAAACCCAGGAAGCAGAGGTTTTAGTGAGCCGATATCATGTCATTGTTACAAGAGTAAAACTCCATCTCAAAAAATTTTTTTTTTCTTTAAAACAGATGCATTCCTCCTCTTGCTTCCTAAGGACTCCCTGCTCTGGAACTTAGTAATGGCTAATAAACTCTCTTAACGTCACAAGACTCTGCAACTCTCCATAAATTCCATTTCATGTGAGAGCCAAAAACCCATTGTTGGGGTCTGGGACAAGACTCCTTTGCTGGTGACAAAACTATACAAATTCTTTTGTTTTCTATTTTCTGAGACAGAGTCTTGCTCTGTTGCCCAAGCTGGAGTGAAGTGGCATGATTTCGGCTCACTGCATCCTTTGCCTCCCAGGCTCAAGCAATTCTCCTGTCTCAGCCTCCCAAGTAGCTGGGATTACAAGCATCTGCCACCATGCCTGGCTAATTTTGGAATTTCTAGTAGAGACAGAGTTATACAATGTTGGCCAGACCAGTCGCAAACTCCTGACCTCAGGTGATCCACACGTCTCAGCCTCCTAAAGTACTGGGCTTACAGGCATAAGCTACCTTGCCTGGCCGGATTGTATCCTTGGCGATTGCTTGGATATGGAGGGTGGAGGAGGAGGGGTGTCACACAGATATCGCTCTTGGATTACTACCTGGGATATTAGGTGCAAGGCTCTATTATTGGTTCGAACCCTGAGAGCGCCAGCAAACAACTCAAGGGGGTGTGGAGCAACATGCTGTTTTAATGAACACCTGGGTGCAGACCGGCTGAGGCCTAAAATGGCGTCAGCCCCAACTGAGGGCAAGGCAGGGTTTTCTAGTCTCCTGTAAATGGGGTGGTCCAGTCTGACATAACTGCTATGTGGGACCTAGAGGGCTTCTCTCCTGATCTTCAGAGGATACTTATCATCCGGCCTGCCCTATTCTGGCATCTGCTCTCTTGGTGACCCACACTGCTGGTGCAAGTGGTCTTGTACCTTGGGGCTGAGCCTGAGGAGGGAGGAGTTATCCACTCAAGTTTTCAGGCCCCGGGGAGAGCCTTTCATTAGGGAGAGTAGGCTGGCTGATTTTTGTTTGTTAGCCCCACTTTGGTTTTGCGATGCAGTGGGGTTCCTCGAGCTGAAAGCTTGACTCATCATACATGTCAGACCCCACATGGCGTTCCTGTGACTGCCAGGCCACTTTGAGACTTAAAGAGATAGTTTTGTCTGGCCTCTGTCCTGCACATGTTTACGATGCCTTCTCTGTGTTGGCAGATCTGGGGGTTCACGAGATAGGATCCCTTGAAGAGATCTCAAAGGTCTTTAGTCCAATGTGTTTATCACATCATTTCCACAATCAAAGATGAATAAAATATAGAGGTTTATTTCATGATAAGGTTGATAGTGCACCTGTGCTAGGAAGTGTTTTAGTTCCTTGAGACACCAAGGAGTTGAAACCATCCTTTGCCTTAGAATTTTGCATCTGTAAGTCCTGCTATCGAGAGCTGTGTGTGTTACAATGTCTGATTTGGTCAGGCGCGATCTGGGCTGTCTGTAAGCTTAGGTGAGGGGAGGCTGGTGTCCAGCAAGTATCCAGTACCCCCTCAACATCCCAGTTCTCCACCAATCTTCCAATTCTAGGACTGATGTGGAGGCCCTCAGAGCGACTTAAGAGGGGAGACAGTCAGTGTGCTCTGTGGCTAGCTTGTTTGGGAGTGTACATTGTAAATCATCTGCCAACAAAAAGTTGGAAACAAGTAGTGTTTCAGCTTGAGTTTCTCGTAAATGGCTTGCAGTCGTATGAACCAGAGCATGTATACCACAGGGCAACATGAGGGTCCCTCTACCACCCTTTCTCCCAGTGGCCTAGGTGGGCATCTACACAGAATAATGTGTGCAGCCTCACTGTGTGAAAGTCCAGTGGTTTGTGCTTGGAGTATCATCAGGGAAAAGCCCCTTACTTGGAAGGTTGCTGAGCTGCCTGGGAGGGAAGGAGGGGGAGTGTGGTGTTGCTGGGTCTGCATCTTGCTCTCTAACAGGAGGCACGAGATAGCCTTGGTCTTAGGAAGACCTTGGGTGCCCCAGCTCACTTCAGCCCTGATCAGTGTGATGCAGGCACTGGGTCCTGGTTCTGGAGGTGAGAATACACCCCTGTGCTTGCACTGCATGGCTGGCACAGTGGGCATTCAGGTGCCTATTTGGGGACTGCTACGGAGTCCTGTGCCAGATGCAGTGGTGCACAGCTGGGAGCCAAGGGTCCCTGCTTCTGCTGGAGAATCTGGGCAGATGTAAAGGGTTAAGGTTAGGGGTAGGGGTAGGGGTTAAGTTTAGGGGTGGTGTCAGGGTTTGGGGGTCAGGGTCAGGGGTCAACAGTCAGGGCTAAAGAGTAGGATGAAGGATTGGGGTAGGGGTAGGGTTAGGGTCAGGGGGTTAGGGTTTAGGGTTAGAGGGTAAGGTGGGTAAAGGTGGAGATGAGAGTGAGGGTAATAAGCAGATTAGTAAAAGCAATTCTGCTTCACTTCAATAACAACCTTCTCCAACTCATTTTTTCTCAACAAACTTATTTTTCCAGCATAAGAATCCCAGGCTTCTTAAAGCACCCAGTGACTTTTCACACCTTAAATCTGTGAAATCCTGTTTTCTTCTGCCGTGTGCATAGTTCAAACATACAAGATGAGACAAAGCCAGACGCATTCCTGAAGGGACCCAAGAAATTCCTCTCTTTCTCTCTCTGGAACAAAATGAATTCTCTAGACCATCAGTACTAACCTTTAAAAGCCAAACCTGTTTGTGAGATCTCCTTTAAAACTACTGTAGACCCAAGTGCTTGTATTTATATGATATTAATTTAGTATTCCAATTAATATAAGGGAGAATGTTTAAATCTGTCTACGCCACATGTGCCTCTGGCGTATTGCCCAGTTAATTGTTACCTCAGGCTAAACTTTTGTTTCTGTCTCTAATTTTTGTTGGAATGAATATAACTGATCTCAAAACATCTGCTTTTATTTTAGGGACTCGTGCTGCCATTTCCATTCCTCCCTCTTTTCTTGTAGTCTGTGTGGAAGTTCTTTAATGCGAACATTTTGACCACCTTCACGCTCCCATGTCCCCTGTGAGCACATTCAGACTTACCCAGCCAAGGCTGTCATCTTAGACCAGGGATTTTTTAGGGATCTTTATTTAGCTATGATACGGTTGGCACTCCTTTGACTCACAGTATCACCTCAGAGTTCTTTTCATTTTAGGAGCCCAAGAGAGCAGAAAAAGAAGTAGGTGAGAAATTAAACCCTCTGAGTCAGGAGAGAGTCCCGTTGTATTAAGCAATGTTGCAGAACATCGTATATAGTAATCTAGCAGATGAGCCACGTGGCTGCTGTGCACACATGCCTGCTTGCTGCTGTGAGCTCAGACTCCCTCATCATTAGTCTTTTCTATCTCTGGAGGGAATTATAAGGGCCACTTGGTAATCTGCAAGTCATAGAGAGTTAAAGGTGTTTCCCCAAAACACTGAGGACAGAATGAAAGGTGAGGAGTGTTAGCGACAGGTCAGAAGTGCAGGAAAGTCTCTCAATGTGGGTTGTTGGAGAAATGCAGGTCTTTTTTCTTTTGGAAGTCTCCCTAGAATGGGGTCAAGGACTCTGCCCATTCTAGGATGAATAATTGGTATATTAGACACCCTCGGATATTTATCCCAAGCCTTCATTTAGGGTTCTTATTGAGTTTGTTCAGCCATCGCAGTCTCAAATGCTAAGTAGGACATTGGAATCTCTCCACAGTTCAAATTAGCACTGTCTTTTAACGTTGAGTTTCTCATTATTCTCACTTGACATACCTTATGTATCCCACACTCATGCTAATAACACATCGTGCTCACTGTTACCTTTGCAGAAAGACTTGAATTTTACTTAGCCTGGAGGAGTGCACTTCACATGTCCAGACCCAGTTCTGACTCATTCTTCAGCCCTGGATCAGTCAGTCAGGGCTAGGTTAAACCATGGTGACAAACAACCTCCAAGTTTCAGTGGCTCAAAAATCTTCTTCCTCATTTATTTGCATCTCATCATGGGTCAAGTGAGAGTAGCTCTGTGCTGTATTGTCCTAACACAGGAATCGAGGCTGAAGGAGGTACCATCAGTAAGATCCCCATTGCTCTAGAAAAGACAAAAAGCATGCTGGATAGAACTCTGTTTCTTGGAGATTTCTCCTGAAAAATTCACATATTATTTCTTACCCCCCGAAAAAAAAAAAAAAAAAAAAGTCGTGTGGCCATGCAAAAATTTAAGTGGGTGGGATGGAACAATCAGAATGCATTCATAAAAAATGAACTGAAAATATGTGGAGAACAGCGCCAATGACTATCATGAATGCCAGCATGCATTCCCGACAACCCAGTGCTGTTACCCTTCGCACTTTTGTCTTGCAAAGTATTAGAACTTCTTATCACTCAGAGGGACTGCAGAATACATGATGACATCTCCTTTAGGATGCCCTTAGAGAATTCAAGGAAAAGAAGTTAAATAATCAAAAAGTACTTTTGGATACAGCTGTTTAGCACTAGAGGGTAAGAGTAGAGATAGATTGTAGTGATAATAATAGGGTTAGAATTAGGGTCTGGGTCAGGGTCAGGGCTGGAAGTATAGTTAGATGTGGGGTCATGGTCAGGGTCAAGATAAAAGTCAGGATCAAAGTCGGGGTCAGAATTATAGACCAGGGTAGGGATCAGGGTTTAGGGTCAGAGTCAAAAGTTTAGGGACAGGGTTAGGGTTAGAACCAGAGCTTTGTTCTCCTCAGGACCCACCCAAGGAGAGGCCATGGCTTTGGAGCACCTGGTAGCGTGTCCATAGTGAAGACCATAGTTTTGTTCTCCTCAAGTCTGACCTGGGGAGACGTGGCTGCAGGCCATGTGAGGAAGGTGAGGCAAAAGCTTCCTGTGTGCTCCCCATGTGCAGAGAAAGGAACTCTGACGCTGGCTTTGCTTTCACACATTATATTCTACGTCTTGTTTTCAGAAGCATCCCTTGCTTGAGGCTTTGGCTGCTTATCATCATAGCACTCCCTAACATATTGTAAGATTTGGGTTTGTTTTTGGGGTGAGGCCTTCATATAGAGAAAGGAGAAACGCTTAGAGCCACCACCAGGACAGCTGGGATGAAAGCTGGGGATGGGCAGGTGCCTTTCAAGTCACCCCAAGCCTGAGGCTGGAGGAAACATGTCCACCCCCTGTAAAAACTTTTATTCATGTTTTAATTACTCATTTTTCTTACAGCGTTAAAGTAGCCAAAACAGTATTAAAAAATGAAAAGTAGGCATATTACAACTTGCAACATTATTTAAATTTAAATATATTATTTGTACATCATCAACATTTTTATTTTGTTGAGAAAGTCTAAGGTTAATCAGCAGTATAATTTTAATAGTAGATAGAATAATGTCTGTTTTACAAACATTAACATCCAACGTTACAAGTATGAACCCTGAAAATCTGAGACAGGTCTTAGATTTTTTAGGGAGTTTATTTTGCCAAGTTTGAGGATGCCCGCACCCGTGATGTAGCCTAATGAAGTCCCGACAATATGTGCCCCACGTGGTAGGAGCACAGCTTGGTTTTATACATTTCAGGGAGACATGAGACATCAATCATTATGTGTAAGATGTACATTGATTCAGTCCAGAAGGGTGAGACAACTTGAAGAGAAGGCCAGATGGGGGGCTTCCAGATCATAGGTAGATAAAGATGAATGGTTTCAGTCTTTTGAGTTGCCGATTACCCTTTCCAAATGAAGCAATCAGATATGCATTTATCTCGGTGAGCAGATGGGTGACATTGGATCGAATGGGAGGCAGTTTTGCCCTAAGTAGTTTCCAGCTTGACTTTTCCCTTTAGCTTAGTGGTTTTGAGTCCCCAAGATTTATTTTCCTTTCACAAGGTCTAACATGTTTTCCGATGAGTGTTAATTATTCATTGTGTATTTTATTACACAAATAAGGCAGAGATTTTAAAAAAAGCATCAACTTCATGACTAGCTATATAGACATAATTACATAGAAGTTCAACTACATTTGGAAGCATTCAAGAGTTTGGGTTTCCAATAATTCTTTGTGATTCTTTTAAAGGTAAAGTATTTTTTCCCCATAAAATATGGAAACATCTAAACTCACCCATTGGATGTCCTGCCATTTTGTTTCTCTAGTTTCCTCATTTTCTGCAAAGCCTTACTGAGGAAATGGACTTTGAATATCCTTTTAAACTTTTCTGTTTTAGGAAGTGTTGTGGTGAAACATTGAATTATCATGGTCACAAGTTCTGTTCACATTCTTTTTTTCTTTAATACTTTTTCCCAGTGGCCAATATTTGATTCTGGTGTATTACGGCTAAAAGGTAGACACTGGAAAAAAAATAAAGACAAGAAGTATTTGGAATAAGTGTTCCAGTCACAACGAGTCAATTAGCCATGGGAACATATTTTTATAAAGCCACTCTTTTAAAAATATTTAGCCATGAATTGAAATAGAGTCTGTAAGGTGATTATTTTTTTTCCTGGTCTAAGGTGGACAGCATTTTAGAGAATGAACCCAGGACACATCCACAGCACAAGAAAAAAATGTGAAAAATAAGTTTACACATATGTAAAGCCCATACTCATGGAGTGAGGCATTAGCTCCTTCTTGATGGCTGAGTGTCTACATTAAGTATTTGGAATTCTTTTGCAAATGAGATTTCTATTCAACTTCATTGCTTATTCACCTACACTTACAAATGGAGACACCTAGATAATTACTTGAAGCTTTAGTTAGTATGAAACACTGCAGCATTATGTTGCACAGTTCATTCCTGTGTTGGTCATTGGTAGCTCTTTTTATTGGCTCCAATTTTCCTTTGAGATATTTCAATTTTTTTGTTAGTACTTACTTACTTTCGGATACTTCAAGATTATTCTGGCTCATCTATTTACTGTCCCAGTTCTAGTATCAGACATTTCTTCAAAGAGCCTGATTCCTTTCAGAATGGTAGGAAAACTTACGTCTGGCTGCCGAATGAGCACATTGTATCTTGTCCCTTATTAGCAATGCTAGGAAGTATGTGTGTGTATGTAACCTACCTGTATACACCTAGTTAGGAAGGTTTCGATGTGGAGCTGTATGTATCTGTATTAAACTAAACATAAGTTGTCTGGAAGTGGTGGCTTATGCCTGTAATCCAAGCACTTTGGAGGCTAAGGCGAGCAGATCACCTGAGGTCGGGAGTTCAAGACCAGGCTGATCAACACGGTGAAACCCCGTCTTTATTA